CCCGGGCAGGCCCCCGCCCCCCCGCGGGGCGCAGCCAGGCCCCCCCTACCCGTAGTTGTAGGCGGGGGGCAGCGGGTAGGGGATGCGGGTGCAGGGCATGAGGAAGAGGGTGCGCAGCAGGTGCCAGGTGCTGCAGGCCGCCATGAAGAGAAACATGGCCCGCAGGGACAGCCCGTGCTCGTACAGCACCTGGGGACAGGGACAGGGACAGGCTGCCACCGGGCCACGCCGGCCACCGCCCCGGCCCGGGGCCACAGCCCTGCTCAGGCACCAGCCGTGTCCCCAGCTGCGTCCCTGGCTGCGTCCCCTGCTGTGACCCATCTGTGTCCCCTGGTTGTGTCCCCAGCTGGGACCCAGCTGTCCCCAGCACCGTCCCCAGCCCTCCCCATGCCAGCAACGGGCACCCAGGGGCGCCCAGCACCACCCCCCAGCACCTCTGCATCGTCCCCCCCGCGCCCACCTTGATGATGAGGAAGATGGCGGACGAGGAGTCGAAGGCCCCGTTGTAGAGGGTGATGATGATGGAGCGGTACTTCCCAAAGAGGTTGCCCACCTGGCACGGAGAGGCCCCCCACGCCGTCAGGGCCTCCCCAGCACCGGGCAGGGTGCCCCTGCCGCCGGGTGGGGGTCAGGGTGCCGGGAACACTCACCTGCATGTTGGTGAGGATGAGGAGGATGCCACCCACCGACAGCATGGACATGGCCGGGAAGAGCAGCACCGACAGCTCTGGGGACACGGGGGTCAGCGGGGACAAGGGGGGGTCCCAACCGGGTCCCCCCCTGGGGCTGGGACACCCGATGGCCGCGGGGTCTCACCTGGGGTGGAGAAGGCGACGAGCAGGGTCCCGCCGGTGTAGAGGGAGCTGAGACGTGGGGACAGCGGTGACACATGGGGATGGGGTCCTGGGGGGCCACTGGCACCCCCACGCCCCGGCACCACTGTCACATCGGCACCAGGCACACCAATATCTCGTGGGTGTCCCACTGCCGCCTGGCACCCCAAGGGACGCGGGGGGCCCCTACAGTCACGGGGGTACCCGGGGGACATTGAGGAGACCTGAGGGCGTACGGGGGGCTGGAGGCAATGGGGGCCCCCTGGGGCCGTGGGGGGCACGGGACACACTGGGGACGTTTGGTGGCACTGGGGGCCAGGTACCAGGAGGGGCTGTGCCCCCCCAGTGCCCCAGAGCCAGTGCCCTGGGCTGCCATGGGTGCCCCCCAGCCGGCCTGGGTTCCCCCCCGGCGCAGGCAGGGCCCTGCCTGCCCCACCCTGCCTGGCTGCCTCGATAACCGCCCCGCTCTGGATGACACCCCGCCTCCACCGCCAGCACCCTAACAGCAAGCCCTCACCCCCCCAGGCACCCATGGGTACCCCGGCCCTGCCGCCAGCACTGCCCCCCGCGCCCACTCACATGGCGATGAGGCGGGCGACGGCGGTGCCGAAGCGGTCGAAGATGAAGCCCATGGGGAAGATCATGAAGTTGTTCATGAAGGAGCCGATGGTGAAGACCAGGGAGAACTGCTCGTCCTGCCGGCTGCAGTCTGGGGGGAGGCTGTCATCTGGGACACAGGGACAGCGGGGACATGGGCACGGGGACAGCGGGGACACGGGCATGGCAACAGCGGGGACACAGGGCACCGCAGGGGATGTCAACAGTGGGGACGTGAGGCACCGGGAAAGCTGGGACCTGCGGCACCAGAACAGCGGGGACACGGGGCACCGCAGGGCATGGGGAGAGCGGGGACATAGGCACAGGGACATGGGCATGGGGACAGTGGGGATGAGGGCATGGGGACAGCAGATACACAGGCACGGGGACAGTGGGGACACAGGGCACCACAGGGCATGGGGACAGTGGGGACACGGGCACAGGGACAGTGGGGACACAGGGCACCACAGGGCACCAGGACCGCAGGGACATGGGGCACTATAGGTCACCGAGCAGCAGGGACATGGGGCACCACAGGGCGTGGGGACAGTGGGGACCAGGGACGAGGACAGTGGGAACCTGGGGCACCACAGGGCACCAGGCAGGGGGGACATGGGGCACCTCAGGCCACCGGCACCCGGGGACACAAGCATGCAGGAGACACAAGGCAGGGCAACAGCGGGGCCAGGGCCACCGCGGGGACAGGGATGGTGGCCAGCAGTGGCTAGGGGACAGGGACCCTACTGGGCAGCAGGGTCCAGTTGGGCGCGAGGGTGGTGGTGGTGGTGGCCTCGCACAGGTCCTGGAAGTAGCCCAGCTCCTTGAGGACGAAGACGAGGGAGGCCCAGCCGAAGATGATGCCGCAGAAGGCGCCGCACTCCAGCAGCCCCGAAAGGAGGGTCCCCAGGCGCTTGGCCAGCCCCGCACCCCCCCCCGCCATGTCACCAGCCTGGGGCGTCCCCGCCGCACCTGTGGGGTGACAAACGCCGGGGGGTTACACCCCGCCTGGCACCCACCCGGTGACGCCGCCCCGCACCCAGCCGGCACGCAGAGCGGGGGGCTCAGGGGCACGTGGGTGCGCGTGGCCGCCTGGGCAAAGGCCACCGCGGTCCCGGCTCTGCCCCTTGTCCCTGTCCGCCGGTGGCTGGCACCAGTCCCCGGCGCGCGCCGGGGCGCAGGCAAGGACCCTGCTTGCAGCTGGGGCTTTGCACATGCGCGCACGCATGCTCACAAGCATGCATGCATTTCACATGCATGCATTTCACATGCATGCACACGCATGCACAGGCACGCACACGCGCTCACACGCATGCACACGTGTGCTGGCACCCCCCCGCGTCCCGGCGCACCCCCACCCACCTGCACGAGGCCAGGCCCTCCCGCCGTTACCGCTGCC